GCCAGTACTCCCCTGTCTGCTTAGATCACTACAAATTGGCCCCTGCAGGTTCCCTGAAAATGAGAAATCATAGGCTCTTTGTGGGAGAGTAAAAAACAGAAGGACCTAATACGGGGCAGTTGGCCCTGTCTGACCCTTACACGTTTTTCCTAGACTTGGTATACTAGTAAGCCCCTGTCCTCTGCCCTCTGTGCCCTCTGTCCATGGCCTAGTAATATTCCCAGTAAGAATAAGGAAAGTGACCCCAGGCTCTGACCGCGTGGCCTCTAACATCAGCCCTGGCCCCCCTGCGCTTCATCCCAAGCTCTCTCCCTGGTTTGTTTATCTTTCTATTCTACATTGCTTATTTTGATGGCACATCCTTTCCGTTCAGTCTTGGGTGACCCCATGACCCTTCTGTGTCCTGTTTGTAGGACCCCAGGGAAGCAGAGTAACTGAAAAGAGGCAGAAACCATAAGAAGTTCTACAGCCCCAGTAAGAAACGTTTCCATCCGACCAGCTATGCAGCACATTCTGAGACAGTGCCGTGACCCTAGAGGTCACAGGAATTCCATGTTACCCCAAACCCATGTCTCTCCTAACTGGTGTATACAACCAGCCAGTGTGGCAAGACAAACCCTACACTTGGAGTCAAGAAATGTAGGAGGTCCTGGGCTAGCAGGTGGTGTGGTGGTTAAGATGCTGGATTTCACATGACCTACTCTGTGGTTCGAATCCCAGACCTGGCAGCCTAAAAAACAAGCTGTGTGTGTGCGCATGCCCAAAATGCCAAGAGGAGAACGGTAGAGAAAGGACTGGGGCATAGCCATCCCTCCTGGGGTGTGATTTCTCACTTTCCCTCTTTCTGTCTCTCTACAACTAGTGCACAAACCCTACGGCAAAAAAAATAAATAATAAATAATAAAAACTAATAAATAAATAGAAAGACTTCCTCTAAATTAGAAAGCAGCAAAATAACACCACTTTAAAAAAAAAGAAAAAGAAAGAAAGGGGGCCAGCAGGTGGCATGGTGGTTAAGGGCACTGGACTCCCACATGGCCTACTGCAGTTCGAGTCTCAGACGAAGCACCTTACTTTCACACTTTCCATCTCTCTCTCTCTCTCTCTGTCTCTGTCTCTGTCTCTCTCTCTCTCTCTCTCCCCCACCGGCTCTGGTCAAATTAAAATAAATAAAGTTAAATAAAATCAATTATTTTAAAAAAAGAAAGTTGGCATAATGGCTATGTCACTGGACTCCCAAGTAATTGACCGCAGTTCGGGTCCTGAACCCAGTGGCTTAAACTCACGCCAGGAGCGTGTGTATGCATGCCCAAGATCCTGAGGGGAGAATGGAGGAGAAAGGATTGTGGTGTGGCCATCCCCCCAGGGGATGATTTTTCGCTTTCTGTCTCTCTATCTCTCTCTGTCTTTCCAGCAAGTGCATGCTCCCTATAGCAAAAACCTCTCCAAAAAAAGAGAAAGAGACAAAGACAGAGGGAGAGAGAAACAGAAAGAAAGGAAGAAAGAGAGAAAGAGAAAGAGAGAGAGAGAAGGAGGGAGGGAGGGAGGGGGAAAGAAAGGAAAAGAAAGGTGGGAGCGAGGTCCCACACATACAGCTGCAGCTATATGACCTTAGGCAAGTCACTTAATCTCCCTAAGGGTCAATTTCTTCATCTATGTGAAGGAAAGCCACAATTAGCTACCTCTCAGATTCCTTTTCAGATATAATAAAATTGGCCCAGCCTATGAGCTTGGCTCCCCAGAACCTAGAGGCCCATTACTCTTGAAACCAGTGGTTCCAATACCCTTTCTAGGCTAGCACCTGCTCTCCAGAGGCTTTTTCATTCAATTCTAGGGGGTCTCCCTCCCCCTGACAATATGAAAGAGATGAGCCTCCTTATTTTTGTCTGTTTTTTTGAGGCTGGAGGATACATGTGCTTTCCAGAGAGAAAGAAAGAAAAAGAAGGCACCTTCCCAGTGGGATGCGGTCATCCTTTCATTACTTCTCCATGTTATCAGGATTTGGAACATGTGCCCGCACATGTGCCTGGTGTGTTTGGAACATGTGCACACACATGCGCCAGGACTTGAACCTCAGTCAGCCATGTGGGATCTGATTCCCTCTGCCTAGTACTTTAACCAATGTGCTACAGGGCCACCCTGAGCCTCCAATTTTACAAATGAGAAAGTAGTGGCTCTGCTTTATCCACACCACCATAATTTTCATAGATGTATCAAAATATTCATCTACAAATTTGTTGAGAACCTACTACTTTAAGCACCATGTTCAGTGCTAAGGATATAGAAATGCATTCAACATGGCCTATCCTCTCAGAGTCCAAGATCACTGAAGGAGGGAGCCACAGTCTTACAGACAGACACACATTAATAGTACAATGTTATGAGTCATTAATAAAAATATAAACCAAGGTACAGTCATGTGCCACATAACGACGTTTTGGTCAATAAGACTACATGTTCGACTGTGGTCCCATAAGATCAGAATGGGCTATATTGGGGCCAGTGGGTGGCATGGTAGTTAAGATGATGGACTACCCCCACATGGCTGACCATGGTTCAAGTCCCAGACCTGGTGGCTTGTTTTCTCACTTTCTCTCCTTGGCCAAATTAAAAAAAAAAAAAATAATGATGATGAATAAAATTAAATAAAGGAATTCTTTAAAAAAAAAAAAGGGACTGTATCATATAGCCAAAGTGTAGTAGGCTATATCTTCTAGGTTTGTGTGAAAATACTCCATGATATGAGCACAATGACATCAGCTGATGCTGTATTTCTCAGAATGCATCCCCACGGGACTGTACTACAGTAACAGGAACGAGGGGTTATCTTCACAAGGAGAGTCCAGAAAGGTTTCCCAAAGAAGCTGAAGCTGATCTCTAAAAGAGTAATAATCTACAAAGTAAATAAGGTCAGGAATTTGGACGTTCTAGATTAAGGAAGAATACAGACACAAAGGCAAGGGAAACAGCATTTAGGGAAATTAAAAGTCATTCCATATGGCTGAAGCATAAAGTACGTCCAGAAAAATGTTAAGAAATCAAGCTGGATAGATGTGCAGGTACTAGACCAGAAAGAGAACTCTGCCAAGAATAACCTTTATGTTGTCTGACTAGGGGTTAAGGAAAGGGACCAGGATGCCATCCCCGGCCTGTGTTAGCCCCCTCAGTACCCAAACTTCTAGACAGGGGACACTATCTGGGAGAAAAACAGCCTAGGAAAGCCCTTTCACAAGTTGAGGTTAGGGCCAGCCCATAGCACAATGGTTAAGCACTGCGCTTTGGGAGCTAGATCCCACATGACTAACTGCGGTTCAAATTCCAGCACCAGCAGCTTGAAAAAACACTCCAGACACATTCCTGAGTGCCCAAAGTCCTGACAGGAAGGAGGAAAGGAGGAAAAAGCATTGCAGTATGACTATACCCTACTACCCTATGGGGGGGGTGTGTTCTCTCAACCTCTCTGACATTTGCACTTGCTCTTTGACAGTTCAAACAAAAACAAAATCACATTTAGTTTAATGGTCTTTCCCCATAAATAAACCTTCTGCTTCAAAACTTACCAATAGATCCCTTCTTCTCCAGAGTTAGTTACTTTAGTACATAAACCCATAAACTGCACATTCATCTCACTTTTTTTTTTAGGTTTTGCCATGGGACACGTGTTCATCAGAATGGAAAGAGACAGAGAGACAGAGAAAGAAAGTGAGAAATCACCCCCCCTGGAGGGAGGACCCTTCTCCTCCATTCGCCTCTCAGGATTTTGGGCACTCACACACACAAACCTGGTGTGATTTTCAAACCACTGGATCCGAGACTCAAGCCACAGCTGGCCATGTGGGAATCCAGCCACCTTAACCACCTTGCCACCTGCTGACCCCACTTTCTTCTTTTTTTTTTTTTAAGACAGGGTCTTGTTCTGTCATGATCCTCCTGCCTCAGCTTTCCAAGTAGGTAGGACTATAGGTGCATGCCACCACGTCTGGCTCACCCCACATGTTTATGTTTAGGACCCCAAACATAATGACTCAGTCAACAGAGACAGAATGGAAGCTTTCAAAAAAAAAAAAAAAAAAAAAAAGAATACCTGCTTTGTGTCTAGCCCTGTGTAAAGTGCTAATTGGGGGTTCAAAACAGTTATGAGACACAGCCCTTGTCCACAAGGAGCTTGCAAGTTAGCCTAAACACAGACAAAAATTGAAAAATCTATATATGACACAATATTACAACAGCATTATTTACTTACATAATAAAGGACTAAATTGGGAAACGTGTATAATTAGAAAATGGGACAATAATACTCAGGTACTCACTCTACAACCAACAAGTCCCAGAAGAGTTGGGGAAAGCAAAGGTCAATATTGACAGTTATTATCAAAGGTCACTATTATTAATACTCCCCCACTTGGCTTTCATAGTTGTTTCTTTTGGCCAAACTCAATCCTTAGAAGGGAAACCTAGGCTGGAGCTTCTGACAGGCCACAATTATCTACTCCCCATTCACTGCTTTGCCAGTCCCTTGTATAAACACTGTGATTTTCCACGGCCTACTGTGCCCACAAGACAATCCCCAAATGGTAGCTCTGAGCTTTTCACCTTTCTCTATCACTGCTGGACGCTGAAGGGCCTGCATGAGTAATAATGACTACCCTTCTGCTCCATGACCCAGACCCTGTGACCAGATCTCAACGAGCAAAACCGTAACAACAGGCCAACCAAGCTTTCGAAGGTTACAGAACTCCAGAGGACATCACTGGATACTTAACAGGGATGTTTCATAAACACTGATCGGCCCTCTTTCACCTTTCGCATTCTTTCCCTCTTCTTCCCCCATCTCGCCTATGTACATCTCATGCTTTATCAGAACTTCCATAGGCAACGTGTTCAGATAAAGGGTTTTTTAACTAGAGAAGTCACCCAACACCCAAAATGCAAGTTGCCACTCAGGCACCTAGAAAGACGAAATAAGGCAAAATTGTACAAGGAAATAACAAATATCCTACCTCTGCCATAAATTGTTCCAGGAAGGAATGTTCTTCAAATGGCACTGTCTTTAATCGATCTGTGGTAAGAAGGAACGGAGTCAAGAAATATGAGTTTTAGGATAAGTTTTTCTTTTTTTTTTTTAATAATTCTTTAGTTTACTTTATTTATTCATTCATTTATTTTTTAATTTGACCAGAGAGAGACAGAGGGTGAGAGTGAGAGAGAGGAAGTGAGAAAGCAAGCCACCAGATTCAGGACTTGAACCCTGGGCCTGCCATGTGGGAGTGTCCAGCGCCTTAACCACCACGCCACATGCTGGTCCCCTTAGGATGAGTTTCTTACCTGTGAGATGGAAAGGGGACAGAACCGAGGACTTCTTGGGAAAGAGGAGAAAGATGCGATACACACAGACACCTAGCCCCGTGAGAGATGAATGGCTGAGATCATGTGGGCAAATAGGAGGTGAGCGAGACTAGCAGTAAATGGCCAGTCTGATGGCAACATTTGCTCCAAGAGGGTCTTCCTGCCACAAAGGCCAAGGTCAAATTGAATTTGTTTATTATTATTTTTTCACATGTCGTTTGCCAGAGAAAGACAGAGAGAGAGAGAGAGAGAGCAAGCTTCCAGGTTTGGGATTCAAACCACACTCAGCCATGTGGGAATTCCACAGCTTCAACTACCACGCCACCTGCTGGTCCCTCAAATTGAATTTTTTTTTTTTTTTTTTTTTTTCACTATAGGGCGCGTGCGCTCGCCAGACAGACAGAGAGAGACGTAGAGACAGAAAGCGAGAAATCACCCCCCAGGGGGGATGGGCACGCCGCAATCCCTTCTCCTCCATTCTCCTCCCAGGATCTTGGGCACGTACGCACTCGCGCCCGGCGTGAGTTTTAAGCCACCGGGTCCGGGACACGAACCGCGGTCAACTACGTGGGAGTCCAGCGACATAGCCATTACGCTAACTGCTGGTTCCCCCTCAAATTGAATTTTTATTCTGAAACTGGTATTACACAACTTCCTAAACTCCCAAGTTCATGTTGCCCTAGCACAGTTTGGTATAGCTGCTGGCCCCTTTCCAAAGTCTTTTCCTTGCGATTGCCCAGGGCATGTCCAGACTCAGCTGTACCTTCCAGTGGCCACTTGGGCCTCCGCCCAGTACTCAAGGTAGAAGTGTTGCCTGGTATCAAGTTCTTGGTCAGGACCTAGCACCCACCCTGGGAAAATCTCATCTCTAATGGAAATGAGTTTCCTAAAACTCTTAGAGTATCTGTACCACACCCACACCCACCTCCTCCAAGAACTCTCTCTCACCTCGGCTCAGCACAGCCCCACTCTCCTGGTAGTCCTGGATCTCCAGATCTTTCATACGAAGCAATGCTGCCAGCTCCCTCACTTGGCACTGCAGCGCCAGGCTCATGCCCATCAGAGGACGAATCAAGTGTTGGGAGACCTTTGATAGAAGAAATGTCAATTAGCCACAGATTGTTACAAATTACTATTTAATACTCCATTAGGTACTAGAAACAGCAAATAATAACGTTTTCATAGGAACTCACAATTAAATAGGTTCAAAATAAAAATCTTTTTTTGAGGTTCAGATAAAGGATAGGAAGAATAAAAGAGAGCACCCATAGATAAACAGCCTAGGGACCAACAGTTAGCATAATGGTTACGTCACTGAACTCCCATGTAGCCGACTGCTGTTCGAGTCCCAGACCCAGTGGCTTAAACTCACGCCAGGCGTGTATGCATGCCCAAGATCCCGAGAGGAGAACGGAGGAGAAGGCATTGCAGAGTGGCCATCCTCCCTGGGGGGGGGGGTGCTCTCTTTCTGTCTCTCTGTCTCTCTCTGTCTTTCTGGCGAGCGCACATGTCCTATAGCAAAAAACCTCTCAAAAAAAATTAAAAAGCCTAGGGTTGTGATTTTTAAAGAGAAAGACGTGGGTCAGTCCCATAATCTAGTGGTTAAGGGAACTGGATCCTACATGCTGACCAAGGTTCAAGTTTAGGCCCAGTGGCTTGAAAAACATGCTGGCATGTGTGTGTGTGCATGCCCAAAGTCCCAACAGGATTGAAAAATAGAGGAAAAGGCACTGCTAGGTGACCACACCCCATTAGGGGGTGCTTTTTCCCTCTCTCTCTGTCTCTCTCTAGCAAGTGAACGTGCCCTATGACAATTAAAAATAAATAAGTAAATCAAGATAAGGATGTAAAATAATTGGTAAGAAAATGTGTTGACTCAACTCTCAATAGAGGATAAGAGATAAAAGCAGAAGATTCAAGTAGTCCTCAAGAAAGTTGATGGACTGGGCCAACAGGTGGCATGGAGGTTAAGGGGACTGGATCCAGAATGCCCAACTACACAGTTCGAGTCCTGGATCTAGCAGCTTGAAAAACACACTGTGTGAGCGTGTGCTCCAAATCTTGAGAAGAGAATGGAGGAAAAGGGATTATGAAATGACAATCCCCCCCAGCGGGTGATTTCTCACTCTCCCTCTCTCCTTCTATTTCTCCCTCTGTCTCTCTCCAGCAAGCACACAAGTCCTATAACAAAATTTGAAAAAAAGAAAAATCGGGAACCAGCAATTAGTGTAATGGCTATGTCACTGGATTTCCATGTAGTCGACTGCGGTTCGCGTCCCGGACCCGGTGGCTTAGAACTCATGCCGGGCGGGTGTGCGTGCGTGCCCAAGATCCCGAGAGGAGAATGGAGGAGAAGGGATTGTGGCATGACCATCCCCCCTGGGGGTGATTTCTCGCTTTCTGTCTCTATGGCTCTCTCTCTCTGCCTGGCGAGCGCACACGCCCTATAGCAAAAACCTCTCAAAAAAAAAAAAGAGAAATTTTAAGGGCTGGCACAACAGTAATGAATACTGCTCAAGATAACTCACATCCCCATATGGTGAACACAGTTCAAATCTCTGGCCCACTCAGACTCAAACACACAGATATGCACATGAGTGCCAGGAACCAATGACTGGAGGACTGGAAAACTGGAAGAAGGGGATTCTAGCATAATCAGACACCTGTGGAGAGTGCTCCTCTCTCTCTCTCTCTCTCTCTCTCCCTCTCCCTCTCTCTCTTGCACACCTGCACACACAGAGAACATGTACTTTGTCATGAATTTTTAAAAGTTAGAAAAAAATGTTCTTGTACATATGCTAACTAGAGTACAACACAAAACAAAAGTTAACAGAAGGTAGAGACCTTTGATGATCAGATTAGATGCAGAAACCAATTAAGAGTCATTTTAGGGGCCAGCAGGTGGCATGGTGGTTAAGGCTCTGGACTCCCACATGACCAACCATAGTTCGGATGCCGGATCTGATGGCTTGCTTTCTCACTTTCCTTCTTTCCCTGACTCCTTCTCTTTCTCTCTCATGAGTGTGTGTGCCCTGCAGCAAGTTAAAAAATAATAATAATGATAAATAAGATTAAATTGGTTTTTTTTTTAAAGCCATTTTTAGGGTTGATGATAGCCCCAGGATGATCGCTTTTTCAATTTGTTCCCCAAAATGCAGCACAGTCTAAGGTTATTGTAGGAGATGCAAGTCGGCCACCAACAGTCAATCCAGGAGTAAACCAACCCCCTCTACATGACGAGAGGTAAGAAGGCTGCAAGCGCAGCCATACTGCTGTGCAGGTAGAGTGATGTCCTCATATGATAACGTACAGCTGCGCAGAATAACCGTTTCATTGATCTACACAAGGCGCTCACAGCCTGTCAGAGAAAACGACTAAAGGCAATCATATGTGCCCAGCTGCTATGGCACAGGCAGTGGGATGCCACTGCATGACGCTGGAGCCCTAGCGGAGTCCTGGGTTTAGATCCCAGGTGCACCTGAACACGCCAGGTGCACCCATACACACCTGTGATGCGAGCTGGCTGAGAGGCAGGGGGAAGGACCACACCATGGCAAGATCCCGTTGAGGATATATGCCTCCTCCGTCCAGTGAAGTAATTAATTAATTGAGCTCTTTTTTGAATTACTTATTTAATTTTTTTTTTTTTAAATTAGACCAGAGGAAAACAGATAGTGAGAAAAGGAGGGAAAGTGAGAAAGCAAGCCACCAAGTCTGGGACTCGAATTCTGGTTGGCCATGTGAAAGTCCAGCACCTTAACCACTTCGCCACCTGCTGGCCCTTAAATAAATTTGGAAAGAAATCAATCATCTCCTTGTAGCTGGGGGATATTATGAGTTCCTTACCCTGTCCTCTTTAGGAGGCACTAGTAAGAAGAAAGGCCCCAGATGAGAGGACAACACACTTTTCTATAAAGAGCCAAATAGTCAATATTTTCAGCTTGGTGGCCCGTACGATCCCAGTTGCAACTATTCAACTTTGCTTTTGTAGCACGAAAACAGCCACAGACAATATGTAAACAAATGAGGTGGCCGTGTTCCAATATAACTTCACAAAACCAGGCAGCAAGCCAGACTCAGCCCACTGGCCTCAGGATGCCAACCCCTGCTCTAGGCTGAAAAAGGAGTACTTTGGGACAAGATATTCCCTCCCCCAACACACACACACACACACACACATAGGCTTGAAGTGAGGAAAAGGTGTCCCATAGGATGTGCAAGCCAGACTCATCTGGCTCAGGATCAGACATCTGGGCGCTTCAGACTTCTATGTTTTCATTTTCCATTAATTTTCTAGGTAAAAGTTACTATTAAAAACTCCAGTTGTGTTGTGGCTCAAACTAAGAGGAAAAGACTTTTTCCCACATTCCTCTAAGGATAGATTAGAGGAGAAGAGACGATGTGAGCGCGTAGGAGAGGGGGTTTAGTGGCTATCATTTTTTTTTTCTTTTTGCTAAAGGGCACATGCACTCCTTGGAGAGAGACCAGAGAGAGAAAGAGACAGAGGGAAAGTAAGAAAGTACCTCCCATCGGGAATGGTCACACCATAATCCCTTCTCCTCCATCTCTCCCTCCTTTCGAGATTTTGGACACACACACACACACACACACACACACACACACACCAGGTGTGCTACTGGCTCTGGGACTTGAAATGTGCAGCCAGCCATGTGGGATCCAGCCACCTTAACCATCATGCCACAGGCCAGCCCAGCCCAGTGGCTATAACTTTTAAACCAGCACCAGGAACCAACAAATGCAGGGGTAGTGCACAGAGCAAAAGGCCCGAGATCAAGTCCCGCTGTAGGTACGAGTGGCTTCTTTCCATCACACAGCACATCCCACCAGGCCTGTCTCCCAGTTCACATCCTTAGTGCAAACTCAAGCCTCCCGGAAGTACTGTTCAGAGTGTGGCAGAAGTTCAACTCTGGGAAAATACATGTGCTGTAGAAGCAGCCCACTTTCCTAGGAATTGTTTTGTTAAGTTTGTTCTATTCAAAGTAAATCAGGAGGAAAGATAGCTGTATACTTGTATGAAAGCCAGTGAATGTTTGGTGGGTCGACTGAAAATTAAACAATCAGGACCAGCCAATGGCCTGGCAAACGCACATACCATCTGCCTCAAGAGAGACACAGAGAGAGGGAGAGGAAGTAAGCACACCCCAGTGGGGCATGGTCATCCCATAACCCCTTCTCCTCCCTTTCTCCATCCAGGCAGGATCTTGGGCACACAGACACACACTAGCATGTTTTTCAATCCACTGGGGCCAGGACTCAAATTGCAGTCAATTATGTGGGGTCCACCTCCCTTAACCACTAGCTACAGGGCCAGCCCAATGAATATACATTTTAACTGTTCAAATAAGGTCATAGGATTGGTTGGACCACTGTGAGTTATTGAGGTACAATTCATTACAAAGTTAGTTGAACACTAAGTTGATTTCTCTTAGACCAGATAACCTCACTCTAGTCTCAGATTGAGATTAACGCTAAATAAAAATCTTAGAAATATATGTTAATGATCATAAGACTGGCTCAAAACATGTGAACATGCGAATACAAACCCACAGATATCACAAGGATAAACCTTGAAGACTTTTAGGCGGTCAGGGACAGCACCCCTTCATTTACAGACAGCAATATACGAAGAGATGCAGTTCAGTAAATAAATTCAATACCTACATGGCGTCTAATACGGGATCTGACCCTCCAAGGCTTCTGCCCTCAGACAGCTCACAATAGCTAAGGAGGTCAAGCAGTGTAATAGGTATAGAAATAGGAGTTGCCAATCTATTGGTAAAATCTTTTGGGAAAAGCTATTTCTCATTTTCCCCAAAGTCTTCAGATTTCCTATGGAAATATTACAAGTCACAGGCAGGAGAACAGAATGTCAGTTATCACTTCCGAGATGAATGATAGCAGGGGACACAGTGAAAAGGTAGCAGGCTGGGAATCAGGACACCTAGCTTCCAGCCCTGGCTCCGAGAGTGCCTGGGTATGAAATGCTTTCCTCTGAACTACTCTCACGGTCCTTGTCTTTTTTAAAAAGAAATCATGGACTTGAACTGTGTGCTGCCATAGGTTCGC